GCAATAATAGACAGCCTTTTTCTTTTAAAAAGAATTCTAAGTTCCGATATCTTGTTTAGAATAGACCTCACATTGAGGTGTAAAAAATGAAGACCTTTAATTTTAAACTTTTCTTCAAATTCTTGAAAAAGAGAAGTGTTTTCATCTTTGAGGTTTGGCTGAATTATTCTTGCTATCGCTTGCTTTTCAGGTGTAACGCGCGTTACCTTAAAATAGTTTTCTTTTAGTCTATCCTCGTTTTGGCTTTCTTTCTCTAAACAATCGTCAGTAAATATTGATTCACAAAAAGATGGCAGACAACATGTTAAACAATTCCACTTCTCATCAGGGCATTCATAATATAACCTGCGGTACTCTGAAAAACTGATAGCTTGACAATTAGTGTGAAACCATTTTTTACAATAAGAACACAGAAGGCCGTGTTGATTACATTTGACTGGCTTATCACAGTTCCCACAAGGGAACTTATATTTTCGACCGTCAACTATAATTTTCGGATCATCACTAGATTTTGTCAAACTTTCACTTAATTCAATACCCTTCTTACAAATTGAAGATAATTCGCCCAGTCTTTCATGTCCACCTTGGATGGTCTGAAGGCTGGTTTCAGTCGTGACCTCTGTTTGACTGCACTGAAATCCAAAGATCTCCCAGAAACAGCTTCGGCGTAGGACTTTACGGGGCTGCTTTTTTCCTCATCAGAATGAAGACTCTGGTTTTCTCGGTAGATGGCTTGATGCCGCCTTGCTCCAGGTTCACTGCCTGTAACTTGATCGGACGACCGTTGAGTCCAGCCATGGCCTCGTGTTGTCGATTGGTCAGCACTGTTGATGAGGTGTTTCAGGTTGCCTGCCAAGATTCGTTGACCGGCTCTGTTGAGGTGAACGCCATCACGCCCGAGATGCTGCTCGCTGATATCATTGTTGATGATGAGGCCCCATCTGTTCTCGCTGGCTGCCAACTCCATCAGATAGTTGATCTCATCAACCCGCTTCTTGTCCGCTTCACTCTCCCCTCTACGATGGATGATCGTAGAGACTGAGACGTTAAACCCCTCGGCAGCAACAGACTTGCCGAGGTCTGTGATTTGGTGGCAAACTTCACCAGCACCCTCAGAGATGTTGTTGGTGCCAGCGTGGATGATCAGTTCTCCCCCTGGCTTGAGAAACTCGCAAGGTGAAGAGGTGAAGATGTCTCTCACTTTTGCACCGGGAAAAGAGACGCACTTCACATTCTTGCTGCGGGAGAGATGTCTTCCGTCAATGTGTTTAATCATGGAATCACCGACCACAATTACATCTCGTTTGTTGCGGATCACACTATGTCGGTGGCGGTATCCCTCTATCTGCTCATGGTATGGTGGTGAAGTAGAAGTAATACTAGTAGGTGTTGACAAAGATCGGCCTGAGCTGTCATCAGTTGCGTCGCTGTCAACAGTTGCGTCGCTGTCATCAGTTGCGTCATCAGAGAGAACTTCAGGATGGGTGATGTTGGTTTTGGAGAAAAACTTCAGGTGCTTGGCCTTGTATTCATTAAGTTGATCTTTCATTGGCATTGATACACTCTTGGCACTGTTGTCTGATTTCGTGTTATCGGATAATATTTCAAACCGGTTATGCGTAGCAATTGTCGGGAAATATTTGGTGGTAGGCCTAGATACTTGTTGTTGTGCCTTCAGATTCCCTTGCTCCTTCTCCTTCTCCTTCTCTGTCTCCTTCTCCTTCTCACTTGCAATACATCCTGACTCATGGATCCTGCTGAGTATCGTCGTAGAAGTAGAAGTAGAAGTATGCTGTTCGAATAGATTGTTGAACTTCTTCTCGATAGTATCGAGCCTACTATTCAAGCCTTTCATTTCACTCAGTACATTATGCAGTAGTTGTCGGCAGTCTGCGTCATCATTGAAGACATCATCAGGCTTTTCATGTTTATCTTCATCTACATCACCAGCGGCATTCGTGTTCCTTATTTCGTCTAGGCCTACTGCATTTTCTAGTCTTTCAAGAAGGATCGCCTTTACTCCGTTTGTATGCATACCTCTTTTCTGTAACTCAGCACGTAGCTGCTTCACGCGGAGTCCACGTAAATTTGTTGGCAAATTTTCCATGGTTACGTCACATGAAGCGTTGCTGGGTTGGTATCTGCTGGTCCTTTGCGTAACTTAACTAGTATGGCGCAATATTTCTGCGCACAATTGTTTTGATGCTACGCAGAATGTTCAAATTTGAAATATAAATTCGCCAAAAAACTGGATTAAAATTGACGAAAAACGAATATATCTCGGAAAATGTTCACATACCGTCGAAAAGAGTGAAATGTCCACAATCACAGGAAAATTTCCAAGACGTAGATGTATAACAGTCAAAAGAAAGTGCACAATAAACGCACAAAATATGGGAATTTACGGAGCACCACAAACACACGTCTGCCTCTGTCAGAATTTACATGAGTCATGGAGGGATGAAAATGAGTGCAATAAATCACCACAGGATTGCCACTTAGGGTCACCTCCTAGACCTTTGCCTTGACTACAGTGACGAACGAGTTAAAACGTGAAGATGTGATCCAACAACGAGATTGCTACGGCGAAAGCTCGTATAGTCCGATGGGCTGGACACGGTACAGGATTGACTCAGCTGCCGTCGAGTTCAGAGGGGTGCGGCTGGTTCGAAATTCCCGCCAAAATTCTATATAATACACGCCAATTAGGAGCTTTTAGAGAAAGCGACCGTCTCCGTTGATCGCATTGAAATCGCTCCTAATTACTACCTTAATTACTACCTTGACCCTGAGAGGGAGCTATACAATATAAAAAGTTTATTATTTACAATTTCATCACTTTAGACTCAATTTCAACCGCTACAACAATTACTGAATATTATAGGATCGCATTTGCTTCCAAATGTTCATTTGAACCAAATTCATGACCCCATACCAAAACTTTGTATTACTTTTAAGAGCTCCATATTAATATTCAAGGCGATTTCAGTGCCATGATCGTCCCTTTTGCACTGCTGCAAAATCCCCTCTGGCACCATTTCAATGCCAGCTGTAGCAGTATAATAATATGGTCCTGTTACTTCTTCTACTTCTACGACGATACTCAGCAGGATCCATAAGTCAGGATGTATAGTGCTGAGGAATAAACTATCTATATGCTGGGTGGAAGCGCTCCCTTGAAGCCCACCAGTGAAGTAGCGTCAAGGGTGATCTTTGAAAGTGCATTCCACGCAGTAACTGTCCGAGGGGAAAATGAGTTCTGGTAGAGCTAGGTGCGGGATGGGATAGCCAGCAACTTCTTCGAGTGATACTGTCGTGTGTTGCTGGCAATCATGGGTGCTGTGTAATGGTGTGCATTGATGGCTACTGTGTTGTTTTGGATCTCGTACATGAGGTGGAGGCTTGCAGCATTTCTTCTCCTCTCCAGGCTCTCCCATTTCAGATGTTGAATCATGTTATCATGCTATCATACACATTTGTATGTCATTTTATTTCAATTTTCTAATCCTTTCATTTTAATGTTCATTTTCGTTGTATGTTGTTGACTACCCGCAATAACAGGTAATTTTCAGAGGTGGGGAGGGAGGGGGGGGGGGGGTGGGTAATTTGCCGGGAGCCTCCTTTGAGGGTAGTTTCCCGGGGGGTAATTTTCCGGGGGTGATTGTCCAGGGGGTAATTCTCCTGATACGCTTGGAAACCAACCTGGGAATTTTGGTTGCGTCCTACGGGACGCAATTACTCACCGCTTTTGCAAAATTTGTACGTGGATTTGGTCTTTGGTGAGTCCGCGGCGCGAAAACGCAATTTAGCGCGACTCTTGCATATATCATAATTATATTGCACTACAAAAAAAAATCTGTCACAAACTTTAGAAATATGTAGAAGGAAGAGACGATAGTGTACTCGCCTGTATAACATTCTTAACACAGATGTATTATTAATCTTTAATATGTACTCATAAAAATAAAGGGGCAAGTTTAATTTTCTAATCTTTAGCAAGTGGCTCATTGGAATAAAATATGCTTCCGACCATGATTAATACGTCACTAAACAAAAATATAGTGACATGCCAGTGTCACAAATAAGGTATCAAAATATGCTTATCTGAAAGTAATTAAATGCCTAAACCCATATATGCAGTGGAGCCGGAGGGGAGCCGGAGGGGCAGGGGATGGCATTGTGTCCCCACACTTTTTCAGGTACCCCTTTTTACATAAGAAAAGTACCCCCTTTTACTTCAGATAAATAACCCTTTTTATTTATAATAGTTGTCCGTTTGACACATTCTTATGAAGGCCTCTAACCACCTCGGATTATTAAAGCGGCGGATCCAGGGGGGGGGCCCGGGGGGCCTGGCCCCCCCCCCCCCCCTTGAGAAAAAAATCATGTAAAATCACGTGATGTTTACCTTTTTGGGGGGTTGGGCCCCCCCCCCCCCCTGGCGCTCAAGGGGGGGGGGGGTGCAAATTGAAATTTTTTTGAGTATCAAAAAAAAAAAAATGTGCTCACTATACCCCCCCCCCCCTTTAGCCCCTTTAGTCTCCTTTAGCTGGCCAGACTGAACATAGTGGTTAATCATGTATGAGAGAATGATAATTGAATTGAGATTCCCCCTAACCAGGCCCTAACCCACCTGGACCCACTTCAAATTTAATTTTCTAACGAAGATTACATCACTCACAATACTGTTCAGAGCAAGAAGTGCATCAACTTTGTGATAAAAACTTATTTAAAAAGTATGTTAATGCCCTTTAGGCTCCGATCATATTCAAGATTTAGTGACAGAACAATTATTTTTCCCCATCTATAACACTACTCTTTAATCTGTAGCTGAACAAATTGCCATTAAACAGGAATGATAACATGCAGCCTCATAATGATCGTCGTAAAAAGAAACTAAATTTGCACATTATGGTCTTCTACAATTTTGTTGTTAAGCGAGATTTGCCGTAGAGGGAGCGCTCACGTCACATGTAAATTTGTCGAGATCGTGAATCGTCTGCCCCGCGGATTTTGAGACTCTTTGATTTAAGGGCACCTTTTTGTACTAAGTGCTTGTTAGAGCTCTTCCACAAGTAAGTGATAACAACTTTTATATCTTACAATTTTCAAGAGTATTGTAACTAAAGCTCACCCTAGAAATCTACTCCATAATCCATTGTTCCAAATTCCATTGACCTGGGAGCTCGAGGACTAGATCTAGCTGTGCATCGAATAGGCCTGCCGAGGAGCTGGGCGACAGAGGGTTCGTGTTCCGGTGGATTTGGAATCGCATGGCCGAGGCTCCGCATTGGCGCTTGTTCAGAAACCTATCCAAAATTTGACCCCTAATTTCAGCGTGGAGATACCCTATTAAACATAGACCTCTACCCAAAATTAAGTAAATATTCATCAAATGTCCAAATAAAGATCATGAGTTAAAAGTCGTTATGTTTATTACCTGTTTCGTGTCAATTTTCTTGTTATTTCGGTGTGTGACAGTCAGTAACTTTTAGTTTGTAGAAACTCTAGGTTTTTTAATGACTTCAATTATTTATTTTTTCTTTATCGTTTCTGTGGGAAGACTGTATAGTTTTGTCATCATTTTGTACTTGCAGAACAAAGAGATAGTCTGAGTTATGGAACCAAGTACTCTAGCTTCCATGTCTTCTGAGAGAGTGAGAAGATTTCAATGGGACGATGAGGAAGAAAGTATCTCCATCCTCATCCCTGAGGTAAGAAGTCAAAGGAATAGTGTTGGTGGGAGCTATTCATTCGTAATGGCGTTATCACAGTTTTTCTTCATAATCACATACATGCCAACTGTTCAGATTAAAGAGGAACATTCCTCTTTTTGGGAGAAGATAATTATCATTTTAATGCAGGTGTTCCTCTTTCTGTACAAATTTGTCTGTAGGCCTAGTATTGAATAGGAGAGTTAGGATTGTTCCTCTTTTTTTTTGAAAATAGCATAATTTGTACAGATTTCTGATTTTCAAATGTTGGCATGTATGTAATCATTTTGCCTTCGGCGTAGACTTGTAGAAGGGATAAGATTCAGATGACGTCATGCGCAGCGAGAGTTAAAACACAGCTTGCAAGATTTTCAACAACGATGTCGATTTTGACCCTTAATTTCCTAAAAAGGGACCATTAAACAGATTATTTCAGTCAAGTTGGTAAGTGGAACTGATGTATTATAGCCTAGTCTAGGCCTAATTTACAATATCATTTAAATTGGATATGCACGAGGTAAAATGAAATTTTGGGGCATAAAAATATGGTCATGGATCTAAATGGCCTTGGTGTTTGAAAACGACTGCGTATAGTCGGCTTCTGTCTCTAAAGAGAGAGCCGACCCAAATAAGAGGCTTAACGAACGAAAGAGACAGAAAATTCGGTCTAGCATTAATGTAATCTGCATCTACTTCAGATGTACATAATGATCTGGGCATTATTTCACAAAACCATCATAATCACAAGTTAAACAAATCCCATTGAATTTGAAACGCATGTAATAAATTTACGACCATTTCAATAGGATGTCCGCAAACTTCTTAAGGTTTCCTGAAACTTTGCCCGGGTTGACAACATAATTCAATGTGTATCTGTGCTAATAAATTTATTTGGCTTTTATGCTTTACAGGTCATTGATCCTGCGTATGGCATGTATGTCTGGCCATGTGCTCCTGTACTTGCTCAGTATGTGTGGTATCGAAGAGAATGGATTCGAGACAAGCATGTTTTGGAGGTAGGAAAGAAATACATTGTAAAGCTTAAGGAAACCTCACACCAAAGAATAAGTGTAGATTTTCTGAAAATGAGGTGTATAATTCCTTCCCCATAAATAAAAAAAAAATAATAATAGCTCACATCGGATTCAGGCTTACCCGCAACACACTGTATGTACATTTTCCACTCCCTGGGGAGCATTCCAGCAAGTCGCCATTTTACAAGCACCATTTGCTATTAATCCAACTACATTAATTTTCGCATCCTACCGGGTACCCATTTGACACCTGCATGGAGAGTGGCAAATGTAGATCAATGTCTTGCCAAAGGACATTAGTGCTGCGTCGGGACTTGGACCGCGGACCATGTACAATATTTCTAAGGAAAATGTACAAATAACATTTATTTTTTCTTGGCACCCCTCCTACATATGTAAAGTTTTCACAAGCCATGTTATCATATAAAGAGAGAGAGAGCCAGAGAAACCAAAGAGCTTTCTGAGTCAAGGAAATCTTTTGGGTTTTTTAATAAATATTTTTGTTTGTTTTTGTTTTCTATTTCTCTAGTCCATCTGGACTGGATTTTGACAACTTTACAGGATCCTGATTTTGTCCCCTTTCCTTAGCTTGGAGCTGGCACTAGCCTACCAGGTGTGATGGCAGCCAAGTGCGGTACTAGGGTCACCCTGAGTGATGACTGCCGACAGCCAAGAAGCATTGAGAACTGCAAGAGGAGCTGCCTGGCCAATCATCTGGAGGGTGTCGGTGTGATTGGTCTAACTTGGGGGCGTGTCTCTCCAGCCATGGCGACACTCTCGCTTGTTGATGTGGTGTTAGCTTCAGACTGCTTTTACGATTCTAAAGGTTAATTGGACTAAGCCAAAATGAAACACTGGATATGAAACAAGTCTGACATTATCATAGATGTAGCCTTAAAGGCTAGGTGATAATGTGAAATATGATATTGATATATGAAGGGTTTAAGGAGGCCCAAGAAGATCTTGATCTCTTAAAGGGTGCTGCTCCAAGCAGTAGCGTTGGCTCTGCTACATAGATAGGGGGAAATAATTGGTATTAGTGCTAGCAGCTAAGTGATTGGAATGGATATTAAGGTCACTGAAAGGGCATATGGCAATTACTAACACAAACTTTAAGGCTTTCATTGTCTTATCAGGTCTCCATTTCTCTCCTGGGTATGGAGTGGCAAATGTAAAAGAATGCCTTGCCAAAAGACATGAGTGCCATGATGGGGATCAAACCACAGCCTTGAATTTCATGTCAAGTGCTTTAACCACTCAACCGTGACACCTCTACTGTTATGGATTCCACTTACTTCCTTCATGCCATTCAATGTTTTGTTTTATTTTTCTATTCAGATTTTGAAGATGTGTTGGTCACATTTCGGTACTTCATTGACAAGAATCCAGACTGCCAATGTTGGGTAACCTACCAGGAGAGAAGGTAGGCTCACAGAGAAGGGGAATCATATGATGTAAACGGTTTAGAATAATCAGAAAACTCCTTGAAAAAATATTTGCTATTTACATTATAGGATAATAGAATATTATATTTCTGTACAATTCCTTTAAAGATAAAGTTGAGTTCTGGTCATGTGATTGCATTGTGAAAGAAAAGGTGTGGAATGGATCAGAAAAAGTTGATCATGTAGCATGTACGTATTGGTGTGTACTGCAAGGTTCTGGAGTCATCAAAATTGTAAACATTTTGGCCCAGTCTTGGTAAAATAACAAGCACTGTACACAGAAAGATGTATATGGGACTACACAAATGGTGTCGGGCCTACTTACTCATTATTCAGCCAGTATACATTTTCTACCAAAATTGTTTGGCAAATGACATTTATTTGTAATCTTTAACATTCAGTGTAAGTTTCGTTTGATTCTGTGAGAATTCATTTTCTTTTTTTACCAGAACTCAAGTTTATCTTTAAAGATTGTCTGTCCTAGTGTGGACAGGAGGGATTAGACCACACAGGGATGTCACTGACAGGTATTTATCTCTCAATTAATATAAGAAAAAGAGGATCATGGGAGACCAACAGGCACCAATTACGCATTGTTTTCTATACAGAGGGAGCAAGTAGTTATTAAACAGTAGTACAACGAGCCTTTAAATTTTAGATCTCTGTCATGTTGATTAAGTAAAATATTCATATTTTTGGCAGGTGACAGATTGAAGTATATTAAAGGTACTATGTCCCATTTGCAGGCCAAAAAAATGAAAAGGGGTCATTCCATGTCAAATCACCCCAAAAATCTGAAAATCTTAACCCAACCATTTTTGATTTTGATGAAACTTAGTGAACTTGTTGAGTGTGATCTCACAGCACCAAATCCCAAATTTTAGGTCAATCGGGTGAGGGGTTTGGGAGATACGGCCCACCAAATTTTGAGATTTTTTCAAAAATGGGGGTGGTGGGCCTACCTTTGAACCCTTGTATCTCGGGACCTAATGGGTCAATCTTCACAAAATGTGTATTGTTGGAAAGGGTATTCAATAAGGATTCCAAATCTGCCGCCATTTTGAAGATTCGTACACGTTGGGGTACTTTGACCTCTTGACCTCAGATTTGACCTTGAAATTGACCTTGTGGATCACGTAACTTTGACAACATTTTTCATGAAATGTAATCTCTGACATGTTCACTAAAACATATAAAAGTTTCAGAGATATAGTATTTTTTGTTTTGGAACAATAAGGACAATTACCCCTCCCCCTATTCATTAAAGGGGAAGTCCATCCTGATAATAAGTTGGTTTTATTCAAAGCAGATTTTTTTTTAGGGGTATCTTATTCTTGAGGGGTAATTTTCCGGGGGGGGGGGGGGGGGGGGGGGTAATTGTCCTAGAGGTTATTGTCCGGGGGTTATTTGTCCTCGGGGGGGGGGGGGGGGGACAGATTGTCCTAGGAGGGAATTTTCTGGGGGGTAATAATCCTCTGGGTGTGATAGTCCGCGGGGGGGGGGGGGGGACATTTCCTGAGGGTTAATTTTCCAGGGGGGTAATGATCCTAGAACCGACTCAGAGGCCTAAAGCCATACATCCTGTTAACCCTTTAGGCCTATATGAACTTGTCATTTTATTTCTATTCAAGTACTGCTGACATTTAGAATGGATATATGCCTAAAACAAAAAAGCATGTGGAAGATGTATGTTGTACTGTGCATATTGCATGTATTGTATACGTTATAGGGTTTATTGTGAATATCTGTGATCATGGATACTTTCAATCCTTATTGCTCCTAAACAAAAAATATTATATCTCTGAAACTTTTATATGTTTTAGTGAACATGTCAGAGATTACATTTCATGAAAAATGTTGTCAAAGATACGTGATCCACAAGGTCAATTTCAAGGTCAAATCTGAGGTCAAGAGGTCAAAGTACCCCAACATGTACGAATCTTCAAAATGGCCGCAGATTTGGAATCCTTATTGAATACCCTTTCCAACAATACACATTTTGTGAAGATTGACCCATTAGGTCCCGAGATACAAGGGTTCAAAGGTAGGCCCGCCACCCCCATTTTTGAAAAAATCTCAAAATTTGGTGGGCCGTATCTCCCAAACCCCTCAACCGATTGACCTAAAATTTGGGATTTGGTGCTGTGAGATCACACTCAACAAGTACACTAAGTTTCATCAAAATCAAAAATGGTCGGGTTAAAACCATTGGGTGATTTGACATGGAATGACCCAAAGGTTAAATTCCAATGGCACTTGAAAGATAATACTAATTTAGAACTCCCCTTAAAAAAGGGGGCTTGAAAATGGCCGGTGCGATCATTGAAGAGGAGAGTTTCTAGGTTGCTTTGTCCTAACAGACCATAAACGTAAATTAGCCCGATGAGCGCGTTCAAATCCTCCACAGTCGTTTCCTTGAGATAGGTGTTTTTGTCACTATCCAACATGTCTGCCTTCGCCTTGGCCCTGTAATTCTGAATCTTCTGGTTTGTTTGTTGAAGAAGAAGTTTCATCATATCGTCATCAAACATGCATTCCCATACGTCACATGCTGTTTCTGCCCTCCTAGCTCTTCCTCTCACTCCAGGCCTCCCCGTCAAGATGTTAGCTACATTCTGTGTACCTCTCTGTGACGTCAACCGGTTTTTCCATGGGATTTTCTTCCCAGGGTCATTTCTCTTGGGCTTCTCAATGATGGCCGTGTGTTCTACCTCCTCTGCTGGAATGTCCCATGCGTCGTAGTTGGTTGGCTCTAAAGCTGCATCAGTCGAATTTACTTTTCTGTTTCGAAGTTTCACTCTGTTCGGGCGCTCTTGAGGGTCTTCTCTGTCACTGTCACTAGAACTTGAGCTGACGTCATCAGAGTCGATTAGTTCACGTAGATCACCTCCTTCTCCTGCATTGGATGCTTCATCATCCGAGTCAGATTCCACGACAGATGGATCAGTCTCCACATGTCTTCTCTGAAAAATACAAACAAACAGACAAATTGGTTATTTCTCATATCCATACAATTATATCATAGATTTAGATTATGATTCTACACAAACAGTTATAAAATTGTACTCAGAAAGTGGAGATGATGTAATTACAGCTGTTTTATCATATCTATGATTTGTTTATACACATACATGACCTTACATATGAATTTTTCTTTCTTCAAAGTAAATTGATGTTGAATAATGCTAATAGGAGTTTGTGTTACCTTTTCTCTTCTCTTTCCTGATGTTGAGCATCCAGAAGTTGAAGCCATGACTTCAAGCGTACACGATTCCAATCATGAGATGAATATAATTCCAGTGTTCGGTGATGTGGAGCAAAATCTCAAATGAATATATTACATGTAGTAACACAAGTGAATGGCCCATTATATCATGACAGGGATGCTATACCATCTCAATATACTAATCCTTCCAGTGATACAGTTACTCTAATCCCTCTTTACAACTATGGATTACTGGTCTTGTACTTGAGAGGTGTAAACAAAGTCAACAAAAGACATGCTTTCTATGCAACTTAGGTAGAGTCAATGAACTCCAGACCTTGTGTGATCATCTGCTATTTGCAGTCTTTAGAATGTATTAACATTTGTTTTTATTGGAAAATATATACTGTGATTGAAAATATATTCTATCATGCAATCTATATTTACTCCATTATGAGAGTAAAAACTTATGAAAGTATAGTATACCGGTAGAACTTTTTACAAAGAGTACAAGTGTGTATTATATGCTTTAGACTTACACACAATAAGAGTAATAAGTGCTACATTTCACAAACGTGCACATACATAAAACAAACTTACAAATAAACACCCACACAGATACAAGTATGTTTGCTACATGTTGTTTTCATATGAAACTATAGTTTGTACAATATTTTGCGGGTGAAATGCATCAGTTTCTTTTATATCTATAATTACCAATTTCTTATGTATTCCATTGTTTTTAATTTCTTATATTTTTTATTATGTGAATACAAAAATGCTTGGCCAATACTAAACAAGTATAATCATGAATGTATTACTGCATAACATGAAATAAATCACTCATGATATTGATTTTTAAAAAAGATCATATAACTGCAATATACTTACACACGCACATTTGTGAGAATTACATATTTTGATTGACTAAATGACGTGATGATATTTTGTCAGCTAACACCCGAACCATAGGTCCGCCCATAACATATTTGGTATCAAAATGTGCGGGAGACATGAGGGAAAAAACCCATGAAATTTCAGCGCCAATGGTTCAGAGGTTTTTATGCAGTGGCAAATATTTGACGGGGGGGGGGGCATTATGCCTCCCCCCTGGCCTTATTAGGGTTAAGTTATTTTCTGCCGATAAGTCTTTTAAGGTAAACAAAATTACAAATTTTATTAATGTAGGTTTGTTTCTATTAACAGCTCAGATAGGAGTCTGGAGGCCCTGCTTCTGAAGTGGAATCTTTCCTGCAAACACATCCGTCTCTCGTCGTTTGGAGCGGAGTCACCGACTCTGGCTGGCTCTACGTTGCCAGGCAACCACAAGATTCAGATGATGGTTATCACCAATGGATGAGGTAAATGAGGTAAGGACCCTTTCTGACTTCATACATGGTCCAAGAGGTGAGAGAAGTGTTCCAAGAGATAACATGTTGACCTATTGTCTGTGGGAAGCAGGTGATCTCTGTAATAAGCCTACTTATATAAGAGATTTCATCAGTCAACTGATTAACCTTGCTGTACAATTTGATGGAAAGAGTAAATTGTATTTGAATAAATAACAAGGTAAAAGTAATTAGACAATTAATCAAGTATTTTATATAAATTTAGTTATTGAAAGTTTTTTTTATTTTTGAAAAAGAGACACATACTTTTTTTATTTTTGAAAATAAATCTTACGTTATGTACCTTTATTGCAGCAATGGAAATCAAGATGCAAAAATGACTAAAGATGGCTGTGGAGTGTAACATGCAGGCAGTACCAGAAGGGTCCTGCCTGCAATGCCGATGCAATGAAGAGTGCTGGATGATGGTTACAGCTGCTGGACAAGAGAGGGCGATGACTTGCAACATTCAGGGCATCCTCATGCAAATGCACAACAATACCATCTCGCCACTACGGCTGCAGCTGTGCCAGAGAGAGAGATGACTTGCAACATCCATGGTATCTTCAAGCAACTGCACATCAATACCATCTCGCCACTACGGCTGCAAAGGTGTGCCAGAGAGGGAGATGACTTCCAACATTCAAGGCATCTTCAAGAACTGCACGACAATATCATCTCACTACTGCTGCAGCTGTGCCAGAGAGGGAGATGACTTGCAACATCAAGGGCATCTTCAAGCAACTGCACACTAACAATAACATCTTGCCACTACTGCTGCAGCTGTGCCAGAGAGAGATGACTAACAGCATTCAGGGCATTCTCAAGCAACTGCACAACAATAACATTTCGTCAGAGGTAGGTTTTAAGATCAGATGCGACATGGGCATCATTGTAACTACCAAACAACGATGACAGGTTGCCATTACTACTGCAGTTTCCAGAGGTATAGAAGATGCATACACAACATCCAGGGCTGGTATTCTCCTAGTGATAATGATGTAACTAAGGAGATTGATGAAGAAGTAATTTTTTTTTTCTTAAAAAAAGAATTGATTGTAGAAAATTTCATCCTAGGAAGACTATAGGAAAATTATTTGATTTATAGATGAGTTAGAATTTGCAGCATATATATTTGATATATTTCCATACTCTTCCTACTTTTAAAATGAATTATCTATTTCAGCCTCTATTACTTATTCTGTCACTGAACATATTACTGGTACAGAGGTAGAGGTGACATGGAGCTTAATCATATCATAATCATGATTCTGCATGATTTATAAAAACTTCAAGTGAGCTCATTTCTTTAGATGAGAGTACTATGGTATGTATATAATGATTTTTTTTTTTTTTAAAGAATGGACACCACATAATAGAGTGATATTCAGTGTCTACATGTACATCTAATTTGCAGGTGGGACATAAATATTTGTAAACTTTTAAGTTTTGGCGTTGATAGTTATTACTGCTAATTATTACTTTTACATAGTAAACAAATATACAATACCTTTCGAGGGTCTAGCAAAAACTATGAGAAGAGGCATAAATAGTAACTTTCCTGAGAGCAAATTTATATCAAATTTACTAAGGTATAGTAAATTTGATATAAATTTGCCTTGAGGAAAAGTTAATATTTATGCCTCTGAATGCTCATAGTTTGCTAGAGCCAAGAAAGACATTGTATATCTGTATATCCCTCATGAGCAGCTCACTTTTACAAAGAAAGTATTACAAAGCCTGCATTGTTTTCTTGCTGTAGTATTCACCGTTTTAATTCTGAGCTCCAGCATAGAAGTTAGAACTGCGAGAGAAGGAGGTCTAGGGCTTTGTTATCCACAAGATCATCATCAAAATCAGCTTTTATATCCTTACAAAAATCCTGAAACATAGAAAGTCCATTCCTGATCTGTTTCTTCGCGTTTCTGCTGTCATTTCCTTCGTTAAATTTCAACAGTTCTTCCACATTTAACAGGTGAAAATGGGGATAGTCGGACTCGGCAGCCAATTTGTCGAACTACGGTATGTTTTTTCAGCTGCTTTTCTCAATGTGCTATCCTACGTGCTCTAGATTCGCAACATATTTACACAAAAATATTTGAAGACTACCTGCAAGTTATCAACACAGACCTCAATAGCGTAAACAAACTTCGGAATTCGGAGCTGCACAACGTACTCCAAAGGTTTTACGCTGGTGCTAGATGGAAGAACGGTTCTTTATACATAAAGAAGTCAATGTTAACTATTAGATTTAGATTTCAGCGTCATTTCCTCAATTCTAAGAATGTGGACATTTTGAAGCATGAAGATTTTTCAAATTCGACAGGAGTTTTTAAGTGTTTTTCAGCAATGCTTAAACAAGAAGGAAACAAATTATCCTTGTTCTTAGCCTGAAGTCGAAGAGTTGCTTTGAAAAGAACTTTGTCTGCATCACTTGCTGACATTTGATCAACATGACAGGCATGATAATCATACCGAGCAGGCAGAATCTTCTGCAAAAGTAAGTAACAATTGAAACATAATTAAACAAACTTAATGATATAATGATACAATATTAAAGGGAAATCCAACCCTAATGGCAAGTGTTTTGAAAGAAAGACGAACCATCAGAGAAGCAGATTAGTGAAAGTTTGAACCAACTCGAACAAGAAAGGCTAAGAATATTATGTAAGTTGTCATTTGAATGGCCAGAAGGATCTTTTACTTTTAAGAGAACCTATAAGAATACTATCTAAAATATATTTGACTACTTTTTCGAGAGGTTGACGAGTCTTTGAAGCGTTTTTAGTAGACCTGCAAAGTTGGAGGTGCTCTTAAGGTATCCCATCTTGAAATGACCTCATTTGAATTAGCTTTTAATACAAACTTTAACTAGTGCTACAGCTGCCTCTGAATGTCTATCAAACAGAATCTTGTTGCGTGTCATCCTTTAGCAGTTCCTTAAGCTCCTGCAATGTTTACTCTACATTTGCTTTTGTTTTTGCATTCAAATTCCTACTGTGTGAGGTCAACTTTTGTATGATTTCCTCTTCCACAGGATGTCATGCCGCATTCTCATTCTCCTGTCTTTTGCCTACCAACCTCACTATAATTGCACATGCTTTTATACAAAGCATTACCCCTTCTACATATGTGCATGAAAATTCATGCACACATACCTGACAATCCTTGCATGCAAATGTATCAATGTTTTTGAAAATTAAGAAGAGAACTTTTCCATATTACCTCCAAGATGCGACTATAGTGTGTAGTCTGCCCGGCCATTTGGCTATCACGTTGGTGATGTTGAATTTTGGGTCACACACAAGTTGAACATTGATGGAATGCCGGCCTTTTCTATTCACAAAGACATGCTCGTCAGGGGCAAGACTGTTGAAGTTCTATGCGCTACATGACTTGTTCAATGTCGAATACGGCAAACTCATCAGATGCAATTGCTTTCTCCTTGCTCTGTACCTTCAAACTCCTGACTTTCTCTACCTCTGCCTTGTGTGCATTGTAGTATGCCTCTTAGTATGCCTCTTGTAGATCTTCCTTTAGCTGACCCTGAGCATTTGTGTAGTTTGCACACAATCCACACATGACTTTTTTGTGGTTTGTGGCTCTTGATTTTCAATTCTTTCATTACTTTTACATACCAGTAGGAAATTCACGCGGCACAATTTCCATTTTCCTTTACAAATACACATGCCTGACAATCCTTGCATGCAAATGTATCGATGTTTTCGAAAATCAAGAAGAGGGTGTTTTCTATTTACCTCCAAGATGCGACTATAGTGTGTACTGCCCGGCCATCTGGCTACCACGTTGGTGATGTGGAATTTTGTGTCACACACGAGTTGTACATTGATGGAATGCTGGCCTTTTCTATTCACAAAGACATGGGTTCGTCAGGGCCAAGACAGCAACCATGTAGGCAACAAAATTGAGAGTGACACAAATTTGCAGCTGTCCTGGTAGGGAGTTGATTCTTTCCACTTAGTTTTGGCCCTAATAATGTAATATGTCAATATAGGTCATGCAGCCTTGTCTGGTGAACCTATACTCTCTTTCGAGGTCTCGGTCTCGGTCTCCAAATTCCAGGGGCTGGGTCTTTTCCACTCTTCCAAATGCCCTGTCGTCAGGCATATATGAGTGGCCTCGGACGGGAAATAAGTGCTCGATCTCTACACGATGCTGTGTTGCTAGCATGTTTATCAAACCTAGGATGGCGAAGTTGTCATTCTGCCCGATGCACACTGAATAACATCACTTTCTTTATACTTGGATCATTGGACAAGTGCCTATCCAAGAAGTGGTTGAGTGCACTGGCCACTTGGTTGGCCCCTCTTCCCATTTCTTGCTCGCTCCAGGAGTAGAAGTGGATGTCTTCTTGGGCTTGCGTTCCAGGGACATCTTTCTCGCCACTAGGCTTATGTTCCACTATGCCGAGAACATACAGCCAAAGTTGTCTCGCATAGTAAGCTTCATCGAGAGGAGACTTATAATGGATGAATATAAGTACTCCCGACACCTTGTACTTGTGTTGCAGTTTTATAGATGGAGTAGTAAAAAATAGTCACTAGACTAGGTTGATATCGTGGCATTTGTTTAGCTTTTCAGGGTCTTTAGAACTTAAGAAGTGAACTGTCATCTACTTGGTAAGACACTATTCTCATTTTTATCAACAGTTTGTTTCCCAATTATGGAATTAGGACATGTTTTCTAGATCGTTAAAGTAAGATTTCCGAACGCTGCATACTGAGCGTGTAGACCCTAGTGCCTGGCAGTTGCACGGCTGTGCAAGGAGTATAACGCAGCTATCCCTCGCTGCCTTCCCGGCGAGCCAGGGAGAGCTGGGTAGGCCTACTATGACCGTACAAAAGCAAGACCCCCTCAGATTTTTCTCAGTTTTATTTGTTCTCTGGGGGCCAAGAATATAACCCATTTAAGGGTAGGCTAGACTAGTACATTCCTTGCTTTGTGGAAAATCATTG